CTTCCAGAACGAACTCATGAGTTTGCCCTTGGTGACCGAAAGTATCGACATGCAGAGCCCATGGCAGGCGTCCGAATCCGGGTCCTCAGTGACCACGGCTCCCTCCACAGGAACGCCCAAAATGGCCCGGTCGTGCAGCATGATGCTCATTTCACCAAAAGGCAGGTGAAACGAGTTAGTATCCGGCTGCCATCGCTCCATAAATGCAGAAAGGAGTGGGTGTCCAAGTGGATGTGCATGGAGTCGGCCAAATGTGACAGCCCGGTCTGGTCGAGAAGAGCTCTCGCATCGGAAGACATCTCTTCACGCCAACCTTCAGATTCTCGATCGATCTCAGTATGTTGTGGCATTTCAGCGGCCCCCTCAAATCTCCACTCCACATGCGGGAGGCGACGTGCCCTAGAAAGCTAGAGTTGACACTCCCATCAATGGGCCTACAGGGCACTGGGCCTTTAACGATCCAGGGTGCATCATCATCGGTCCTAGCTCGTTTGCTAGTACCTGCATTAAAATACAACATATCTGTATATATTGACTTGCTGGCAGATGCATTAAATAAAATATATTTAATAAAACATATTTCATAAGTTTCCCGTTCTTTTTTTTTTCAATTAATGTACAAACGTTACATTTTACATTAATAAAATATAATGAAAATTTTAAACTAATTTATTATGTAACGTTACTACTAATTGATTATAACAATAATAAAAATAATTATAATAATTTTCTAACTAATTAATTGTATGGTTCCTCTAAATTACAAAATAATTATACCGTAGTTGAGGAGCAGACCGATAATACTTTTCTAACAGTACCGATAATTTGTTATGATTAAGTGAAAATAATTTATGTTAAACAACAATAAATACGTAAATTATTTACCTGATGAGGATGCAGATGGGCCAAAACGCCCCCCAGCCTGTCGTTGAGGAGCAGCCTGTGTAGGACGAACAACCTATACCGGACGAACCTGCTGTAGAACCGGCTGTACAGGAGGACGAGGGTGGCTAGGACCCGTAGGCTGTGCGTGGTCCTGATCATCTAAGGAGTCGTCCGAGTCACACTCCCTCTGAACCCTGCTCCCTCTTCCCGTACGACTCATCAACATACCCCTGCTGACCATAGGGTAATGGTACGCGTGCGCGAGGAGGTATCGACTTCCCTGCGTAGCGGGGAAAAGCATATCGCGACTGATCGTACGGTCCTGGTGCCGGAGGCATCGAACTGCATGTCTGGCCAGGATAATAAAATCCATGCTCACCGTACGGGAGGACTCCGTGGAGTCGCGAACTATCTGGCTGGCCCTCAAAATGATATCCCTGCGGACCATCTCGCACTGGTGCGGGGGGTCTCGAACTCTGCCTAGCCTGACGAATCTGTACTCTCCGAGCCTCATCGATCATCGCTGCCTTTCCATGTCCCTCTCCCGACGAACGGACGCATTGACACCCCGACTTCTAGTGTGTCGGGTGCCAGAACCATCATAATAGTCATCGAACGCCTCGTCGTCGTCTCTGGCATTAGATTGTCCAGGTCTGCCAACACTCTGAATCAGAAATATAATTATTAAATTTTTCCATATGTAATGACTATTCTAATAACTATTACAATAGATTATAATTCATTTTTATTTTAATATATAAATTTTATTCATTATTATTATAATTATAATTGTTGAGATTTATAATAGTTATTATAATTTTTTATTTAAATTATTATAATTAATACTAATTTATAATTATTATTATATTTAATTATAATTATCATTACAAATTATTATTATTATTTCTTATAATATTATTATTATAAGCATTTATAATTTATTATTAATATTATTAATATTATTTTTAGAATTTATAATTAATTACAATTTATTCAACGTATTATTATTATAATATTTAATAATTATTATTATAATATATAATTATTATGATTATTTATAATTGTTATTATAATTATTATTATAATATTTAATAATTATTATTATAATTTATAATTGTTATTATAATTATTATTATTATTACTAATAATTATTATTATAATATATAATTATTATTATTATTTTAATTAGAATTATTTATAATTATTATTATTATTATAAAAAAAAATAGAAAATAAAAAATGTCCGGCCGGCTCGTGACCGGCCGGCGGGGCCTGTCCGGTTCGGTTCGACCGTCCCCCTGATGCCGTCCGCTTTCTACGACGTCCGACCGCCGACCTCGGTCGGCTTAAAGGCCGACCGGCCGGCCGGAACCGATGTTCGTTCCACTTTTGTCATGTTTTCTTTGTTTATTTCATGCTTGTTTTTCCCCTACTTAGGTATTTTTCTTTGGTTTTTGGTCCGTTTCGAGTCGTCTCGTGCATATCATTTGTTTTAGTCGTTTTTGGTCTTTTTGTTCGTTTTTTCCGGTTTTCCGTACTTCTTGTCGGTGGTGATGTGCAGGTTTGGTGGCTCGGTGCATGGCTATGCGAGGCCTACTGTCTAGATGGATGAGTTGGGGTCGTGTTGGAGAAGACGGGATCAAATTCCGAGTCCAGATGAGAGAAGACGAACCCGAAAACCGACGTGCAGAAATTCTTCGCCGCGGCCGCAGAGAAGAGGAAGTCGCGGCCGCGAGATACACAAAAGTTCCAATTTCTGGCTCGGGGAGGTCGCGACCGCGGAGACGGTCGCGGCCGCGAGATGTTCTTCGCCGCGGCCGCGGAGGGCTAAGTCGCGGCCGCGGAGGTCGCGACAGCAGAATTTTTATGTTGCGATTTTGTTCAGTTTTTCATTCGCTCTTTCACCTAGGTTTTGACTCTCTCTCGATTTTATGCACTCCAGAACATATATTTCTCTTAGATTTTCATAGGAATTGATCTTGGATTGTGAAAACACCAAGTTTAAGCTTGTGGATTCGGTTATTCGTGTATTCAACATTGGATTCCTTAATCGTAAGCTTTCATTTCGTTTTCTTATTGATTGAATGGCTTTGATTATTGTATTTGTTGGAGTTGAATGCATTATGAGTAGCTAAATCGTTTAGCTAGGGTTAGGGGAAGATCGTTCCGGTTTGATTTCGTTTATATGCATGATAATTGCTCAATCCTCTCGAGTTGTGCTTAGCCTAGGGTTTTGATGATTGATCACCATCTTAATCTATTTAATCGATTTTAAAACTAAAAAGGGAGAAATCGTTCGATCTAGGCTCGTTAGGAATAAGCTTGTTCGTAATAGTATTGCTTATGTGTTGATTGCTTCAAGAATTGCTTATTAATGTCTATCCTCTTGTTACGAAGAGTTATTGAGGATAGACCTCTAGGTGAGTAGTTTAGCGAAGCATTCAACCGAGCTCTTGATTGCTCGTTAAGTGTATTGAGAACAGGAATTGATCGACCCCGATACCCTAGTTCCTTTATCATATATTGAGTTTGTGATTCCTAGTTTTGTTTGCCCTGTTCCATTACTTGCTTTTCAAATTAGTAGATGATATACAAACCTCCAAACTTGATTTAGAATGTTTAGGATTTTCACTTCTTTTATTTTCCATTTTTTGTGCTTGAATAATCGTACAAAATAATCCGGCTGACCTGCCTCGAGAGACACGACCCGGTGTCGAATCTTTGATTTAACTCCGGTAAAAATAACTACAACAACCGACGGCCGGACGGCACCGCCGCATCCGGAGGCGACGGCCGGACGCGGTTCAGAATTGAATTTTTTTTTTAAAAAAATTATTCACGTGTAGAAAAAAAAGAGAGTTTACCTTGCTAGAAAAGACCGCTTTGCCGATGCGTAAGATTTTTTCGATATTTTTTTGAATTTTTTCGGTGCTCGAATCGCTCGTTGAAAATTCGGGAATTTAAAGAGATAGAAAGTTTAAAGAGATAAGAATTAAGGGCAAAAGAGTAAATAGGAAGGACGGTGACTAGTAAACGGGACGTAAATAACAATTGAGAATTTGAGATTACACAATAACACTTTACACAACGATAACACATTACAGATACACGCTTCTTTACTCTTTAGTTCTTTTCCTTTATTTTTCTACATCAGAACTTTATAATCACAGAGAGACTGGCCTTTTCCGCGTAACCCTAACCTCAGCACTCATTTTCTGAAGCAGCCTCAGCAGACCGACCGGTGTGCGGCGACCTTGGAGCGGCGACGGCGAGCGGCAAGGCAGCGGCGGAGTCGAGCGGAGAGACCTTCGATTCTAGCGGCGAGACCTTGAAGTGGCGAGCGACGAGAGGCTAGCGGGCCAGCGGCAGGCAAGGCAGTTACTCCAATCGGCAACGGCAACGTCGACAAGTCAGCTTCTTCCGGTAGTGATGGCTGAACCTAATTCTCAAAATTAAGTGTGATTTATGATTATTGAACTGATTTGTGGATTTTGGTTTATTGAATTCTGAAAATGAAATGGCTGAACCTAAATTCTCTAATTCTGAATATGAATGTGATTTATGATTTATGTATTGATTTTGGTTTACTGAATGTGATTATGTGAAGGCTGAAATGAAGAGTGAATTTTTTGTGAAATGGCTGAGCCGGTTTTTTTTTGCTCCCATTTGGACTTGCCCTCAGGTTTTTTGCATTTGCTCCCAGTTCATTTTTTTTACTATTATGCGGTGGGCTGACCGCTTAGCCCGCGGCCGCGGCGGGGTTGAGCCATTTCACAGGCCCACCGAGATGGCGGCCGGCCTGCCTGCCTGCCCCCCGCCCCGCCAAACGTGAGTTTTATTGGGCTGCAGGCCAGCCCGCCCGTCGGCCCGTTTTGACATGTCTAGTCGTGATACACAATTTTTTATTTTAGAAATTTTGCAATCTGTGTCATGAACATTTTTGTTTTTTAATTTTGCGACCTTTTTACGTAACTTAAGCGGAATTCATTTTTCATAATTTGTGGTGATGTGCGTAGATTTTCCTTTTGGCCCTTTACAACATATATATTGCACTCTAGTCCACTCTTCATACTAATATTCCCTCTTTCTCAGAGTCCACAGCCACTTCGACCACCATGCCCGCAGTAGCCGATGCCGGAGCAAAGACTGCCGGCCTGGAGGCTCTCCGCCGGTTGAAATCCACGGAGCCACCGGTCTACCTTGCGCCCTCACCAGAGCTCTCAAAGGCAGCTCGATCAGCCTCAGAATATTTGTTTTCCTCTCTCAGTCCTTACGCTCCTAAGTCTCCATTTACCCACCTCTTGACTGAAGGGTTTGACCCCGAGCAGATATGGCAGCAAATCGATCTTCAGGCGCAGCCGTTGCTCACCTCCCTCCGCCGTCATGTTAGGAATTTCGAGAAAAATCCTGAAGAAATAGAAAAGCAGTTCAATTTGGGTAAAGCTGGAAAAGTTGAGAAGGTGGCTGCGGATGGAGATAATAAAGGAAGAGGAAGAGGGGTCGTAGAGAGTGAAAGTGAGGATTTGGACGATGATGATGATGACCAGGAAGAAGAAGAAGAAGAAGAAGAAGAAGAAGAAGATGATGATGATGATGAAGATGAAGATGAAGAAGAAGAAGATGGGGAAGATGATGAGGGAGAGGGAGAAAGAAAGAATGGAGTTGAAGATCAGTTTTTCAAAATTAAGGAATTGGAGAAACTTATTGCAGAGGCTGAAGAACAAGAGTATGGAATTAAGGAGGAGAAGAAAAAGAGGAAAAGAGATAAAACTGCAGATGAGGAGGAAGAGAGTGAAGATGAAGAGGGAAGTGGAGACGAGGAACATGAAGATGATGACGAGGAGGATGACGAGGTATGAATTGGTGAATTGTGAGGGGATTGAAATAATTTATTGCAGACTGCTTCTGATTCTGCTTTATGGCACTGTTACTTGTTTACGGAATATGTTCTGATATTATTTGTACTTTTTGTTTCTTGAACATGACAGCTTGGACTTATGGGACTTGAAGATGCCGATGATGAAAAATGGGAAAATGCTAGGTCTGTTTTTATACCCTTACAATGTACCTACAATGTCTATGCATTTATTTGCAATATCGTTGTTGGTTGGTTAGCATCAATCCAATTCCATTTCCATCATATGGTAAATTGTATAACTGATCTGGCATGACACCATCACTGAATGTGCTGAAAGGAAGTCATTGAATATTACGCTTGAAAATGGTGACAAGGAACTCGATAAGTTTGGAATCATTGTTGTTCACATTTAGTTCATTGCGAGAAGCTAATGCAAGTGATTTGACTGAATGTGTGTTCTCTGTTTTTTTGGCTTATATAAACTTCCACATCCAAGAGATGCAATATCTTTTTTACTTTTTTCTTTGTCCACTCAGATATGAAGACTTTTTTGTACGTAAAAAAACTGACCAAAAGAGAAAACCTAAACATTTTCGTGGATCAGATGACATGGATATGGATGAACCTGAGGACGATGATGATGATAGTAAGGTTGTTATGCAATTTAAGCTGCCTGGCTTCTCAATTCTCGTCCATCTAATGATCTGCATGAACCTTTTCACTGCACCTTTGTTTGCCATACTTACTCATCTTTGGTCCTGTTCTTTTTAATAACCTATAGAACAAGGAAAGTCTTTCTACGCATGAGAAAAAGCTAGCAAAACTTCGTTCTCAGGTAGATGAAATGGAGAAAGCAAACTTGGGACCCAATATGCAGGGCGAGGTGACACTTATCATCAAAGTTCCTATCGCTCTCCATCTCCATTATTTTTATTTGCCCCCCTTTCCAGTACTTAAATATTCCACTGAAAAAACAGAGACTTTCAACACATGAAAAAGAGTTGGCAACGCTTCGTACTCAGATAGAGGAAATGGAAAGAGCAAACTTGGAACCAAAGACATGGACAATGCAGGGCGAGGTGGTATTCTATTAACTGATTTTTTATTTTTGTTAATACGCTTATGATTGTAGGTCTTTTATTTTTGTTGCTTCTCTGATGCCAGGTAACAGCTGCTAAACGACCTAAAAACAGTGCTTTGGAAGTTGATCTTGATTTTGAGCATAATGTGAGACCTGCTCCTGTAATTACGGAAGAGGTTACTGCATCGCTTGAGGAATTAATTCAGAAACGTATCCTAGAGGTATATCCAATTTTCGCGTGGCATTGAGTACATTGTTTTTTTAATTTTCATGCTCTAGAAATGTACTATTCTTTTGCAGTCTCTCCTCTTTTGAGATTCATTTTTTTTACATTTAATAAAGTCATTATTAAGCATATTCTCTAGCTATATCTTGATCTTCTAGATCATTTACCGGTTGTGAAATATATATATTAGAAAAATTGTGTTCTCACTGCTATTTCCCTTCTCCTGAAAGTGAGACTGATTGGTATGGGGGAGGTGGTACTTGCGTTTTATAAGATGCTCAGCGTAATGCATTGCCAATGAAGTCACATCACTGTTGCAGTACCTTCTATTTTTTGTGAAAGCTTTGACTCGTCCTGTTATTTATCTTATAAGATACATGATTGTACTTGTTTCATCATGTTATGTAGCTCTGTGTTTCATTGAAGTGAATAAAAAGTTCATGTGGTACCATCTGTAGGGCCGATTTGATGATGTTCATAAGCCACCTGCATTAATGGCAAAGGCACCAAGAGAGAAAATAGAGTTGGTAATTATTTATCTAGTGTTTCTACTTTGACCGTCCAGGTAGTTTTGTCCTAATTGAGTCAACTTTAATATGTGCAGGATGAGAATAAGAGCAAGAAGGGCCTTGCTGAACTCTATGAGGTGATGTTTTCTTGTTTGATAAGGATTATAATTTTACAAGTGATTTTGTTATTTGTTTCTTGCATTGGACGAGTTATATAAATCATTCATCTTTTACTGACCTCATAACACTCCCAAAATTCTATTGCAGGATGAATATGCTCAAAAGACTGGTCTCGTATCAGCTGCATTGTCTTTCTCTGATGAGCAAAAGAAAGAAGTGAGTGCGAAACTTATATTCATGTTTTGTTGCGATTATGCTATTCTCCCATTTTGTATCTGTTATACTGTATTCAATGTAAGGCCTTCAGAATAGTGGTTATAAAAGCTTACCTTTGATGGTCCTTTCTCTGTCCATGGGGATGGGGTAGCTATTTTCCTAGTGTTTTTTTCACTAGAATGTAGTGTAGTCGAAACAGGTTAAGCGTATTATGTAATGACCTCTTCCTTTTTTGCATCCCCAGGCAAGTATGCTATTTAAGAAATTATGCATAAAGTTGGATGCACTATCCCATTTCCACTTCTCTCCAAAACCGGTAATACTCTCTTGGATTAATTCCATAATTTATCGAATTCTTGAGTATCTAACCAGATTTTTTTAACAACTTGAATAGGTAATCGAGGATATGTCCATACAAGCGAATGTCCCTGCTCTGGCCATGGAAGAGGTATAACTATTGTAGCTCATGAATATCAGTTGCATTAACACGCGTATACACGCATAGACAAACATATATAATCTGATTAACATGTTTTTTTTTTAGATTGCGCCTCTAGCAGTGTCTGATGCAGCTATGCTTGCCCCTGAAGAAGTGTTTTCTGGCAAAGGAGATATTAAAGAAGAAACAGAGCTAACGAAAGAAGAGAGGAAGAGGAGACGAGCTAACAAGAAGCGGAAATTTAAAGGTTATCCAACTTGATATTGAGATATGATTTCATAAATATTTTATTTCCGTGCCTGGTTATGCAATTTTTTATTATTATTATTATTATTATTATTTTTTTTTTTTATGGAGGATAATACATGCATAAAAGTTTAATGATAAACCCATAAATAAAAGTTCCTATTTTTAAGCTTTCTTTTAAATTAAATGTAATGGAAAAAAAGTTTCATAATTTACATTTTCCCTTAGTCATTAAATATGGAAAGCAACTAGTCGCAAACTAAGTTTATCTGTCAAAGCAGTTGCTAGAGTTTCTGTTAAACCTGTAAACTAGAGCAGAGAATACTTGTTTGCTCTACTAACCTCCACAACCAGTTTCATCAGTAAACTTTGGTTGTAAGAAGTAACCCAAGGCCCTGTTTCATGGAATAGCTTTGAAGGTTGGTATTTTAATTGGAATCCTTGCGGCGTCAATGCATGCATGTCATCGATTTTTTTATTGAGTTTTACCGTAATATTCCTTATTTTCTTGTATAGTTATACACTTCATATTGTGTCGTTTTTTTTTATTATTATTATTATCCCCTTTGAGCTTATTGACATATGGTTGGACCAATTACAGCTGAGTCCGCAAAGAAGATGACCGTGAAGGCACAGCCAACTGCAATGGCAACCCACGAGGATGGTAATTTAATCATCCATTGTGTATTCTTTTGTTTCCTTCTCTTGATTATTTTCGTCTGTTGTGTTTTTCTTTTTTGTTTTGTTTCTTAGTTATAGTTTCTGGTTTACAGGCAATGAGGACTCGTGATTAGCACAACAATTTTGTAAGAGATTACCTTGCATCCTCCCATTCAACCAGCTTTGGGTATCGCGACTTAACAAATTTCGACTCTTAGTACTTATGAAAAGGAAAATTTTGGGAGTTTCCAGTAGGAAGAGATGGAAGGATATATTAGAGATTATGTTCAGCAAATTTGTTGTTCTTTGTTTTTTTCTCCTGGAAGTGAAATTCAATCGCGCTCTGTACCCAATAGATTCTGTCAATCTCAATTAAATTATTGTAAGATTTTTCTTTCAAGCACCAGAAGCTCGTGTCGTGTGTCTGCGTTTTGCAAAATCTTCTGTTCTATTCAAATAACAATGTACTGCTACAGTATACATATCAACATTAGAGGCTCCAACCCTTTTTCATCAACTCATTAGATTTTGAAGCCCTTTTTCAAATTCAGCAAACAAAGGCTAATCTCAAATTCTTCATAAATACAAGTACACTTTAGGTGTTTCAACGGGGCTTATGAATAGTCTCTCTGTGAAAGAACTAATGCTCTGTGGTCAAGGATAAAAAGTGCTCAAACACACACAGTAAATTCATCCCAAAAAGCAGAATTTCAATCAAAATTTTTATAAATTACACAAGTCCCATGACAATAACTAATGGCAACTCAACAACGAAACACAAAAAANCTCTTCTCCTTGCACTCTCACGTGCGCACCCCATGTTGAGGTTAACCATCCGGGTAGGCCCATCTACCATGGCACCCAAGCCTGTTTGGTATGCCTGATTCCTTGAGCCCTGATAACGGCCAAACCTTCCCTGTCCATCCCTATTATAACCCGAGCCCACTCCCCGACCCCTGCCAGCATTATACCCCTGCCTCCCGCCAGAAAACAACAACTCCGGCCACCTGCCCCCACCCCCCGAGGGCCAGTCCTTACGCCCGCCCTCCATGGAAACACAATGCACCCCGTCAGCCGGTCCCAGCTGGCATGCAGCTCCTCGTTGATCATCATCTTACTCACTATGCTCCGTGTCTGGGCCTCCGAGAGATCAAACATCTTGGACAGGTGGTCGAGGCTGATCGAGTCATATGAATACGTGAGGAGATGGGTCCTGAGAGCCTCCTCCTTCATCTTGGCCTTGAGCATGGCAAGCACGTGATCTTTATTCCTGAGCAGCCTCCAGATATGGAGAGACTACAATATTCGGGTACTGAGTCAGGATATCCAGTATCAGTAGCAAGTTGTGCACGCACGTTGAACGGCATGTGCCCGCTCAGGCTGGAGTTCACGTCAAACTGCACAGTGACGACACTGAAGAGAATCTCGACTTCTGTCTTGGCGACCCGAGTCAGGAAAGTAAGCTGCTCGACAAGCTCCATCCTCCCCGTTCCCTTCTTCCCCCTGGCGGCCACAACCTCCTTCAACTTGTTGTTCACAATGTCCCACGTTATCTGGCTAGGGTCCTTCAACTGCTTCTCCATCATCTTATCCTTCCTGCTCACCATCTTCTCTCATCCTCCGAGGCAATGGCTGCAGGGTCCTCATCAAAATCATCATCCTCGTCGTTCGTTATCCGGCTTCTCCTCGAAAAGCTCGGGCTTTTCCCAGCACTGGTTGATGAGGTCCTCGTACAGCTTGTTGTTCTTCTTGAGCTTCTGCTTCATTGAGTTGAGGGCCTTGGCATTGCTGGTGCTCATCTTCTTCTTTGCCTCCTTGTTAAGGAAGTCCTCTAGCATGACGAGGGCTTTGATGTAGAGGCCGGGAGCCCGGTCGGACTCGGTGGCCCGTATGACCTTGCCCAGCTGCTTGTTGATTTTCTCGAAGCTCTCCTCAAGGCTGACCCAGTCATTGATCTTCATCGCGCTGCGCATGCCGCCATCTCATCGTAGCGCTTGTCCTTTACGTGGAGCACGACTCGGCGCTGACCGTCCGAGTCATCACTGTCACTGTCTTGGGAGATTATGTATTTGCTCACGGAAGATTGCTGCTCAGCAGTCTCATTCTCTTCCTGCTCGTCATATTCGCTTGCCTCCTCATCACTCTCACTCTCTCCATCCTAAAAACACAAGGAAATATATCAGGAATTTTAGAATTTGGGATTTTTTGTGGATTATGTATGGTGGATCCGTCATTTATACGACTAAATCTAACTGGACTGCAGGTCTATAGGCAATTAAGCATGTCTAAAAGAGATTCGGTGTCAATAATAAGTGAAACCAGTGAACAAATGCAGAAAGCAAAATTACGGGCAACATTAAGATCTCGGATTTAAGAATTCAAGAATAATTGATAAATATAATCAACGCCGATTGACGGCAGATTTATCGAGAACCTTATCTTTAAAAAAAATGATCTTCAAACACAGGATTTTCATTCAATTGATAGCAAAACACCTGCTGAGTCCAAAACTTTGATGACATAGACATGATTCCCTCGCCGAAAAAACTTCTCTGTGCTTTTGTAATGAAAAATCTAAGGAACAATAGACTTCTTCGAGCTCTTACAAGGAAGAAACCTGCACCAAAATCATCATCAACAGATGGGGAGAGAAAATAACAGATTAAACCACATCCAATCAATTGAGCGGAAAAGTGAGATTAAAAAAGATGAACATCAAATACGGCCCAAAAAATCAATGAATTCAAATCCAAAATCCTAACTTTTTGAAATAGGGTGATACCGTCAAATAAAGCTACACTCTCTGAGTACCCTCGGACAGCGAAAACAATAAAGATACAAACTTTCAGAATTGTAATAATTACGTAGGAATCTGTATAAACAAACACAAGATAAGGCGAGAGAGAAGAGAACCTGATTGATTGCTGCGAGGAGAGGAAGTGTTTTTCACTTTTTCTTCGAGTAGGGTTCCAGGAACAAGAAAAACCCAATTTATATTTATATATAAAAGATAAAAAATAATTCAATTTAGTAGGTATTTTTCAATTTTTCCCACCTAAATTTGTAGTTTTGGTTTCAATTCTTTCCTTTCCGACTTGAACAAAACGCCTACTATATGTACTTTTTAAAAAAAATAATTAATTATTCAATCCATTTTTTGACTATTTTTTTTATACACAAAAACTTTATTTTATAATTATAATTATATACATATGAAATTCAATTATACACAGTAATATTTTTGTATGTATTTTTATGGTGTTTGAAATATTTATATTAATAATATAATATTGGTGTATACAATAATTTCAAACATCAAATACCTTGTAAGAATAAACTATGGAAAATTATCAGCTTGAAGAGAAGTAATAATATTCATCATGTGTATTCTTGTAAATTAGTAAATAATAAGTTAATTAATAGTTTTCAAATTCCATCATCAATAATCTATGAATATTTAAAATTAGTAATACTTCATACTTCTGCATATAATAATTACGTTTACATTCATTAGCAAAACCTCCATCTTTTCCCCCATAACCATGTCATAGATATCAAATTCTTGTTGCCAAACATCAACCTCACTCTCTATAATGCGAGTAGCAACGAATAACACTCAAGAAAACAGAAGTTAACAAAAAAAAAAGAATAACAAAAGGTCAAGCAATAAAATGCCTGGAAAATAAGATCACAACATAAAAAACACTAGAGAAAAAACAGATATTCTGAAACTGTCCTTCAATCAGAAATAGATGCTAAGATGCAGTTAACTGAGCATTAATCCTGGCCAGGCATAGATTCAACTGAAAACCATTACACCTGAGCAGTGCCCTCGGTAAATTTAGGGTCCTCACATCTGTACTTCCCATCAGGCCCGATTCCAAATCCCCTTGGATCAGCGAATACATTTTCTAGAAGCTGACTACGTGCAGGAACTGGGCTTTTATCTGCAAACTCTACAGATTCTTCAAGAACTTCTTCAATCTTCTTTTCGATGGCCTTCAACTCGGCTTCACTTGCCAATTTGTTTTCGATAATGTATTTCTTTAATGCAGTGATGGGGTCTCTTGCGGCGTAATGAGCCTTCTCAGCTGTAAAGGTAAGAAAAAAAAATACAATTATAACATGGACTTCTGAATTTTTACATGGCTGACTTACATAATCTATACTTAATGGTTAGACTAATAACAGATTCATGGAATTCTTCCATCAAAGAATTCAGGCCTTGTGCTTTTTCCAAAAACATTTTTCAGTAGATGCAAATGGCAAGTGGGTATTGGTATTTTACCAGATGACTACATTTTTCCTCCTTTTTCAAGCAAATGGAAATAAGCATCTGCAGACGTGCTGTGTTCTTCAAAGATTGGATAAATGCTGCAAAATATAAATAATGACCACTTTCTACATCTATGCTACAAGGTACTCAGAACACACACTATGCCCCAAGAGGGCTTTTCATGTGAAATTACATAATATTCATGCATCAGCTTCACTCACTAGCTGGTAACGAGAAATTGAATTATCACATTCCACGCAAAAACCTTCTCATGAGATTTAGTCAATTCACAAATACAAATGCCCTAGTAGAAACACACAGCGTTGTAGGTATGTATTTTACCAAACAAGTACCCACCCAATCGCTTAAATGGAAACAAATTTTAACATGGTATTAACAGTTTAAAATATAACTGATTTTAAAAATATAATAATTATAATAATTATGCCACACTGAAGTCAGTTTTCATAGTTACACTTACTCCACAAACGAAAAAAAAAGAACAATAGACAGAACACATTCAACATCAATGAAATTGAATACTTCAGCTGACAGCACAAGAACACAGTTAACATAAGAATGGAAAATGTGTCTCATAAATGCTCACCAGGGTCACGCAACTCATCAGGATCAGCCAAAGAGTGTCCCCTAAACCTATAAGTCTCACACTCGACCAAAGTCGGTCCTTCACCCCTTCTGGCCCGCCCAATTGCCTCCTTTGCGACCTCCCTAACCTTCAACACATCCATACCATCGACATGAACTCCCGGCATCCCAAACGCGGGACCTTTTTTCCAAATTTGAGGGTCCGAGGTTGCTCTCAAATGGGACATGCCAATAGCCCACAAATTATTCTCAACAACAAACACAATCGGAAGCTTCCAAAGCGCGGCCATGTTCAGACACTCAAAGAACTGTCCATTGTTACAAGTTCCATCCCCGAAAAAGGCCACACTCACCTCATCACAATCCTCCTTTAGAACCTCTCTCTTATATTTGCTAGTGAAAGCAGCCCCAGTTGCTACTGGTATGCCTTCACCAATAAAAGCAAAGCCGCCAAGAACATTGTGCTCTTTAGAGAACATGTGCATTGAGCCACCTTGGCCCCTGCAGCAACCGGTGGTCTTGCCAAAAAGCTCACTCATGACCTGGCGAGCTGGCACGCCTTTGCTCAAGGCGTGGACATGGTCACGGTAAGTGCTTACGACATAGTCTTCTTTTTTCAGTAGTTTGATGAAGCCGGTGGAGACAGCTTCTTGTCCGTTGTATAAGTGAACGAATCCAAACATCTTGCCTCTGTAGTACATCTGGGCACACATGTCCTCAAAGGCTCGACCGAGAACCATGTCCTCATACAGCACCAAGCCCTCTTCTTTGGTGATCAACTGCATGCAAAAACATTTCAGTTTATACCTTTCTGAGTAAAGCTATCTATTTTGTAATCTTCATAGGATAAATGCGGAAAATGTAATTAAAACACTGGCACAGAATTAGAAAACCTAATTAAATTATCTCCAGAATCTAACAGAAGAGCAGAAGCTCAAATGAGCAAAAACTGAATAATGAAATCTGAGCACAGACTCATTAGCTTGCGCGCGCACACACACACACAAGAGAAAGATAACTGAATAAATATCGAAATTGAAAAATTCAATCACCATATTGGAAACAGAGGAGCTGGACTTGAGCTTCTTTTCCTTGACAACATCCGACGAAACTGCAACGACGGAGGCGGATCGGCGGCCGACAGGCGGAACTGCCTTAGCAGAAAAAGGCTTGTTACTTAGGGATTTGGACCCCAGAAAAGAGGCGGGCCCCAATTTTTTGCAGCAAGAATTAGACTTTTCGGCAGATCTGATCGAGAGAGGATTGTGGACGATTCTGGGAGTCGCTGAACACGCCATTGGCGCTCCGAAAGATTGATTACAAACAAATAAAAATACAGTAAATGCCCAAATGGGTCTCAGGGAGAGCGAGAGAGGAATGCAGGAGACAGAGAATTTGTGAATGAATCAATGGAAGAAAAAGGGTTAGTTAATAAGATGGTGAAAATTGGGGAAGGGACGGAGATTACAAGAGAGTGTGTTCTATGGGAATAACCGTCAAGTGAGTCTCTTTGTGCGCGTGTGTGGTTCTTGTGAACTCGAATTTGCTTTATTATTATAAAAAGTTAAAATAATTACTGTAAATCAGTGAATGTGAAGAAAAATATGCTTCATTAAGTTTGATTTTCAGTTGATTGCAGGGATTGTATGATTTGTGAACTCAACCACTCTTTCCTCCCATTGATGATGGCAAAAGATAGGTGAGAAGTTAGGTTTATTTTCTACTTAATAATTGCTAATTGCTAACAACCTATGAAGACAACAGTTTCTTAGAGCATGTTTGGATATATGAATTTTTTGTTTTATTTGAATTTTTTGGTTTGATTTGGTTAATTGTGAAAAATGTGGTATAGTTAGTTGTTAATGGATATATTAAAATATATTTAACATAAAATAATTAAAATTAATTAGATGTAAAAGTATGAGAGAGATGATCTGAATTGATGATTAGTTGAAATAATGCGAAATGATGAATAGTGAATTAAAGTTGATGTGGTATGTAATGTGTATGAATGATTGACTGATATTATTTAATTATATCGATAATATTAATAATAATGAAGTTGAATTACAAAAAGTGATTGAATTAAAATGTTGAAAAATTTTTGTATGAAAGTAGGATCACTAAATTGGCATCCAAGTAACAACCAAAATTGCCTATAGTGAAGGCTCATTTTGGGATTCGATACCTTAGTTGGCTAATACAATTTACAAGATATTGGACTTCAATTTGAGATACAACAGTGCACAATCAAAAGCTGGTAGAGAGGAGAATTTCTCATAAATATAACCGAAGTTCAACACATTTCACCAAATTAACTTGTACAAGTGAACCTAGTGACAAGTTTTACAAAGTACCAAACACTTGGTGAGACTAATATTCCATTAATTACAGCAAAAACAAAGCATGTCCCTTGAACATCAAAGCTATATATGATCAACAAACCCACAGGATGTGTAGACTAAAAGATTTACTCTACCAGGCCCTCAAATTACAAGATCTTGACAAATGACAAAACGTGAGATACATTATAAAGCTTTCCCAATTTCATTCTCCGGCCAGCCTTAAGCGAAAAAAAAATTAATGTAACACAAACCACATTACAGCAAATTGGAAAATATGTAAGCCAAAAATTAATGTAACACAAACCACATTACAGCAAATTGGAAAATATGTAAGCCAAAGTTATCATTGACCATTTTTGTTACGCTTCGTTATTATTTTGTTCTTATTCTTCCCTCGTTTTAGATTTTTTAGTTGATTTTTAGTTCGTTTTATAGTTTATTGTGTGTTTTGCTCTATTTTGGTTTTCTATGTGTTTTTCGTATATTTTGTCGGTTTTCTACGTTTTTCTTCTTGTTTTTAGTGTACAGGTCGGAAGCCCCATGAAGACTCGATGTAGCTCGAAAATGGGCCTGAAAATAATGGTTGGATTGATGTGTTCGTTGGCGATACATAGGAAAAATCAGAACTCGATTTCGAGTTCGGACGAGTCCGAACGGGGCCAATATGCGAAGTCGTGCACGGAAGCCGTCAACTTCAAGTCAAAAGCTTTAGGTGAATAAGTTTTCAAGAAAATAGTTGGATTTGAAAACATAACTTCGTAGAGGGCTTCGTTAGCGACGCGTAGAAAAAAACGGAACCCAATTTCGAGTTCGAACGAGCCCAAAAAGCAAAATAGTGCACGCAAGCAACCACCCAGCGCGCCGCGACGCGGCACACACATGCTCCACGCCGTGGCACCCTCCACGAGCTTCAGAGAGCACGCCCAGGCATCCCTCGCGCCGTGAAGCTTCCCCGCGCCGGGCCAAGAAAACCCTTCACGCCGTGCACCAGGTCCCTCCACTCAAATTTTCCACAGATTCTTGCCACTTTTCTTCCATGTTTTAAGCACTCCTCACTTCCATGTTTTGAGCCACTTTTCATCTCCATGTTATGAGGCATTTTAGCATGTTTTATGGAAGAAATTGTGGAGGAAAAATGGGAAGAAAATAACTATAAAAAGGGTGACAAAGTCTTGAACAAGAACACCACATAACCGAGGGGTTCTCCCCCTCTACTCCTCTCCTCTCTTTTCCCTCTTTCTTCTTCTTTTTTTTTTCTTCTTCTTCTACTTTTTTTTCCTTCTTCCACCACTTTATTTTATTTTCTTTCAAGGATGAGACTTTGTAATTGGATTCAACATTTGGATGAATTGTAAGTTATCTCTTTGAATTAATTCATGAAGAATGGTTAATTTAGGAGAAATATTTTGTTATGTTGATTTAATATGCTTAGATAATTCCGATTGCTAGGGATAAGAAATGATTATTCTTGTTTAATTTGTATTTGTTGGGTTTCGAATTGTTCGTTCTTGTACGAATTGTTGTAATTAGGAATTGATAAAATAGTGCTTGATAAATTGATATAACCTAAAGAGTGACACTTAGGTTAATTTATTGATATAATCGAAGAGTGACACTTCAATCTTGAGATTAAAAACGATTGAATATTGATTTGTTGAGTTGGAATTTGTTAATTCTACATGATTAGTTGATTAAACACCTTCTAATTAAATTAGCGACTTTTAGAACCGAAAGGGGAAGAGTCGTAGAACTAGGCTCATATGAGGTAGACATGTTCGGAGACGTATTGTCTATAGGTTTCGGATTGAAGTACACGCTTATCGATGTCTCTTCTCATGTTACGAGGATTATCGGCCGGTGTTGTATGCTCGAACTTGCTCGTCTATGTTCAATCTCATGTTACGAAGAGTTATTGGGAGCGAACCGCTAGATGTTTAAGCGAGAGTATCAATCTTGAACCGAACAATTAATTGACCGACATTGCAACGAAAACTCGAATTAATTATTTCCGGCTCCTTAGCTTATCTATCATTATTTCATTTCTATTTTTTAGATAGATTTATATTTCTTGTTATTTTTTAGTTGACAATCAAAAACCAATCCGATCTTGAATTAGAGTGTTTAGGAATTTATTTTCTATTTTTGTATTTTGGACAACTAACTAGCAAACGAAGTTCCGAACCGTCTTCCTTTGAGAGACGACCCGAGTCCGGATAACTCGGTTACCAAATTATCCAACCACAAAATACTAAACAACATCAATCACAACCACATTACAGCAAATTGGAATCAAATACGATAATAGAATGGGTTTTGTCACATCTGATTTCCTTCATCTAACACAAACACATCACGTCACGGTGTGCCCTAAGCCTAAGGCCCCTAATCCGGCTCAATCCACGTGTCACCAGTCAAAACAACGAAGAACAGATCTACTTCAGCTACTTGAAATATAAGATTATGAATATCTCGACTACAAAATATCTGATTACAGAATACCAAATCAAGCAAACACAATTGAGTTGTGCAGGTAGAATGGGCTAACCCAAAACTCAAACCCATCTTTTGATCACTCCCATCCTGAGTCCACATGGGCGGGGGGCCCACTCTGCCGCCCTCCTCGTCTAGGATGACTCGAGCCTCTCTCCCTGTGTTTTTGGTAGGTACTATCAGCTCCATCGGCCGGCACATCTGTTAGTGTTATATACTGAAAGATTGGCTTTGCATGTTATTAACATTTTCCCTTTATGAATGAGAATAATGTTAGATTAAACAAGTTCTACGTTCTGTTGTTCTGCACTTAGATGGAGTGGGTCATCATCGTGCAAACCGAATATCACTCTATCAGTTACTTGCGAACAAGAATAGTTGTTCACAACCTAGATGGACATGAACACCCCATCTGAACGGTTGTAGTGTCAACTGTACAGTTTGTTTTGACTGATTAGTTGCACTAGTACATTTATGTATTGAAAATGACCCTAGAGAGGAGATGTTCATTTTATACTGATCGTCGTAAATGAATTAGGCCTCGATTAATTACTGCGTCTCTTAACCCGTAAAATATTAAACAGGCAGATATATATAATATATATTACTTTGATTTACATGGGTGAGGTTCGGTTCGCTGGATTAATATTCCTACTGTTTTGGGTAATATATTATATATAGGATGTGCTGTTAGAATATTTATGGTCACCATATGCGTTACTTTGATGATGTCCCCGGAGTTAGTTCAATGAAGGATTGTTATGCTAAACCCCTTCAGGTGGATTAAGTTCCGACATAATAAGAATGTGATGAACGAGCGCTAGCTTCAGTGAAATAATAATAAATTTATTAATTCTTGATTGTCAGTAATCGAATTAATTAATGGACATTATATCTTAAACGTGGGGAGGTAAACCGAGTAATTATTATTGGAGTCTCATATGTAATTTGGGCTAGGAAAAGGGAGTGCAATAATATAATGTTGGTGGTCCATTAATATTATTTAATTAATTAGAGGAGTAATTTTGACCCACAGTTAGTCTAATTAATTAAGGAGCCTTTTTTTTAATCTCTTAAGGGTCCCTACTGTAGCTCTATATATACATCATTAAGTTCATGAGAAGATAACAGAGTTCACATCTCACGTGAAACACGCCTCACACGCCTCTCTCTCTCTCTCTATATCTCATTCGAGCTTTATTTTCTCCTTGTTGCTCTACTGATACAAGTTGAAGAAGGGTATATTGAGTAATACAGTAGAAGATCTATAAGTAAACCGGGACGAAATATATTTTATCCTACAGAACTATTCGGAGGTCCGATTGAGGAGTTCAGTATACCCAGACGACCGTCTCGACGAGATCTTTCCATCTCCGCCGAGATCGCCGCCATCCGCTGCCGCACGCGCCCTCACGCGCTACCGGAAGAAGTCTAGCTGCAAGATTCGTTTTCATCCGATTCACCAGTTTGATCCGATTTTGATCTGATCTTGTTCGTGCAACCCAAGACGTGATTTGCGGTCAACCAGATCTACATAAATTTTAAGCCGTAAGTTCTCTACGTCAAACCTTTAGATCCGTTGCGCATAAGTTTACGTTTGCTATTGAATTCGTGACTTGTACATAACGAGATCCTCATAGATCCCAACAACATCAACCTTTTCATGTCTGTTATTACCTTTAAAAGGACCAACTAGCTGGTATTCGTAGTGCGAGTTACAGGGGCGGATGCACATTCACCTTAGGGGGGGCTATGGTCTCCCCCAAACTTTTTTTTTTATTAGTACTATGTATGTATAACATATATAATATATAGTATTATGTATATTTAAGTACTTTGTCCTCCTTAAAATATATATTAAAGTAAATAAATCTCTGAGTTACACTAACTTTCTTTCTTTTGCTTTAATAAGTTATATAATATAATAAATTAAGTTAATTAAGTATTCTTTACACCATTAAATAAATAATTAAAATTAACATAATAAATGATTACAAGAAATAAAAGTTGGTTTTCTGCACGCAACTGATAAGACGAGGAGTCGAGTGAAGAGACAGACAAACGAAAAAAGCACAGATTTGAGAATTCATCACCTGATCGGATAATTATATTTATAAATACTTTTATTTACATTTGTGTCTATGATATTATTTATTTATTCTTTACTTCTTTTTGAGTTTTGAACAATTCATATTTAAGGATTAATAAAGTTGAATGTATGAAGAATCTAGATTTTGATAATTCAGTTGGAAATATGTAATTTTCAGGCATAGTTGATAGTTTGAACAACATTATTCGACTAGTCTGACCTTAGAATCTCTATTTTTGCTCTTTAAACTTAGTAATCTAGCAATGATTCTCAAGACATTTTTTGTTATGCAACTTTTTTATCTTTTTTTTTTTTTTANCGATGTTTGAAAAATATGTATTTTTTTATTACTTTTTTTTTTTTAATTCCAAAATTACAACTTTATGTCTTTGCTATTAACTATATGTCTTTATAAAAAAATTATTTAGTCCCTCCTAATTCACTTTTCTAGATCCGCCCCTGGCGAGTTGTGCCTCTGTCTATTGTCCCGGAAAGAAGGTGTATTATGTGGCCTGTTATCATGCCCAGAAATCCATTCTCCACGAGCATTATTATTATCATGGCTGGACAAAAGATATTAAATGAATTATTTTCACAATATCTGCCGTTTAAATTAAAAAGCAACAGATTATCATCTAGTTTTTACATTTTTAATCGGCTTTAAGTCCAAAAAACAATAGGATTATAATATATTTTTCACCTCTTTTGATCAGCGTTGTTTTTTAGCCATAACATTAAATATGAACATGTGATGGCTAACTTGCAAAATAATTAATATATTATTTTACTAACACATTTATACTAATATAAATTTATTTTTTGTATATATGTTTATTTGTTGATATAAGAGAAAATAATAATTTTATTTATTCTTGTTCATCATATAATACTACATTAATTTTATTATAAAATTTGTTGTCATATAATGTCATTTTTATTAATAAAAGTTATAGAAATTGTACGTCTTCTTTTTCTTTTTATTTTATAAAATGAAAAAAATTTAATGCATGTTAGTATTATTTAATTATGTAATCAATTTAAAATATGTAAATAAATTTAAAATTAAATAGCGTATAAATATTTTACAAAATATACACATATGTTTTTTTTTTAAAATTTAATTTTGTATACTAATTAAACAACTTTGATTTATGAAATGCCAAAACCTCAATCCCTTCTATAATCAAAATTTTTCTAATTTGCATTATAAGGATTTATAGTTTATTCAGCATACCCTGCAATGAAAATATATTTTATAATAATTTCATTATAAAAAGAAATCAAACTAAAAATAAAAATGATAAAAAAAAAAAATCATGCTTGCCAATAATATACAAATAAATTCTAAAGAACATTTACTACATTTCAATTTCAATTTTTGACTATTAGTAAAATTATTTAATGTATATGGTCATTATCTCTTAAATGGAAAATTGTATTAATTTGAAGAATAATTTATTTTTTATATATAATGAAATAAAGCTTAAGAAAAAATCATATTCTCGAAGATTAATTCACTAACTTGATTTCGTCTGATTAATTAGAAGAAAAAATTCTACCTAACCTGTTACGATTTTTTATAAATATTTTTTAGATAAAAAGTGAATATTTTTGAAAAAAAAATTAATATTATAGTTAGAACTTAAAATATGTTATATTATCTATTTTGACCAAAATATTATCAACATGAATCACGAAAAATCAATCTTGTTATTTATTATAATGAATATCAATTAAATTATAGCAGATATTAATAAAATTATTTAAGAAAACAATATTTTTTATCATATATGATTTGGAGCTTGTTTGGTTAATAGCGTTTTTGCCCAAAAATTAGCTTTTTGATCCATATAGCTGTTTGACTTTTCCAAATCCACTAAAAAGGTTGTTTGGTAAAATAGCTTTTGCATCAGCTTTTTTTGGCCCAACACCTGAAAAGAAAAACGCTACTAAGTAGCGTTTCAGATAGGCGTTTTGAGGAGAAAACATATTTTGTCACAATTGCCCTTTCTTTTTCATCACTTTTGGACTCTTGCCCCCAACAGAAATAAAGAGCAAAACAATTCATCACTTTCATCACTTTTTTAACTAGTTATGACTTATTTATTCGCTTACTTTTTATGATGCAAACTTATTTATTCAATTAAGAAGTGTTGTTATTTTAATTATTATTTGCGTTTGTTTTTATATTAATTTGAATTACTTTACAATATATAAAATATAAATAATTTGTATTTTCTAGGTAATTATAAATTTAACATTAAAAAGAAATTAAAGTTTATGAATGTCCTTTTAAGTAATTTTGCATGTTAACAGCTATTTGCAAACAGTTAATTTACCAAACAATTTATAACGAACCGCTACCACAATCCGCTGGTCAAAACAGCTGACACAATCCGCTAGTCAAAACAGATATAATCCGCTAACAGCTAACAGCTAACCGTTGATTACCAAACAAGGCCTTGATCTTATTTCAAAAAGTGTATATTGAAGCAATTAATGCATATATTTAAAAAGTTTCTTAAAATAGGTATGCATTAAATGCTCTCAAAAATTTTTACTATTATTTTTAATAAATGGTTGTTCTTATTATTATTACTAGTACGTAGCCCGTGCGATGCACGGGACATAAATATTTAATGAGTCATTTCCACAGAGCTTATCTGTTAAGTAGCTCGTGTGATTCACGGGAGATATTAAATGAGTGGACAATAGGGCTTGTCAGTTAAGGCCTAAAAAACAATAGAGTTTGATCATCTATTTTTTTACCTCTTTCATCAACGTCATCTTTTTTGTCGAGACATTAAACATGAGCCTGGTAGTGGTAGTGCTAGACCGTAAATTAATTAATATATTATCTCGCTCACATGTTTATAATAGTATAAATTTGATTTCATTATATATATTTATTCATTGATATAAGAAAAATAACAATTTTACGTAATCTTTTTCCTCGTATAAAACTCATATTATTTTATTATAAAATTTATTGTAATAGCATGTTGACCCGTTTATATTATTATAAATAATATTTTAACATATATATTTATTTTTTAATACAAAATAATAATAATTTTACATATTTTGGTTCATCATAATACTCAATTATTAATCTATCAAAAAATCTATTATCATATAATGTCATTATTATTTATAACACTTGTAGAAGTAATATATTTGTTATATAATGATAAATATGTAATGTATATTAATATTATTTAGTGATGTAATTAATTTAAAAAGATATAAGCAAATTTAATGTTTGGTAGGAATGTGATTATATGTAAGTTGAGATAAAATGAAATGTATCAAAAAA